GAAGCTCGGCGGCACAGCCGCCGCTCAAGCGGCTTGCCCGTTACAATTCTTCGCCACAGAACACATCCGATACTGAGACAATAGCACTGCACCAAAGCGACGGAACAGAGCGATGATATTGCATAGAATGCGACCGCACTCCCGATATAAATGCAGCACAGAGCAATGTTGACGACCGCAGTAACCAGGTAAGCATGAACTGGTACCCATCGCTCTTCATCGATCTTTGCTATCCATCCTGATAACGGGAGACCTCTATCACGCGCGAAGGCAAATAGGTCTCGGCTGACGGCTGCAAGGTAGGACATACTTCCAAAGATGAGCAGCAATGTTATGGCCACAAGAAAGACCGTGAGCCAGGTGACAGACATTGCTTGTCGTAAAACTGACATAGCGGGGTAGCCTGACGGATCGGCCATCGCTGATTCAGTATCAGGCATGTGGTAGCATAGCGTTGCCATCGTAAGCATATTCATCAAGAAGTTCAGAACGTATACGGATACCATAACGCGTGGAACAGTATGTGATGCATCACGAACTTCTTCTGACATGTGCGCGGCCTTTTGGTATGAAGAAGATTTAGCATCGATACAAGCACGGGCACTGTGGATTACTTACCGTATCGAGGCCAATTTGGCCTTGGAGGCCAGGTTGTTGGCCAATGAGGACGGCGAGATTGAGATTCGGCCATGCTCCTTCTAGAACCTTAAACTCTGTCCACACTTGCGCCGCGGATGCCCGAGGACCTATAAACCAGACGGGAATAATGAATGCAGCATAAACGAAGAAGCTAATCAGAAAAAGTATGTTCTGCCAATGCGGCAGCTGCTTCGCCGCAAAAACATTAGCGGCATAGGACAGAACATTAACCGTGATGGCCAATAGAGTTCCATGCCACCTTGACGAGTTGTACTCGGGGTAATTCAGCCCAATAATAGTTTGTATCAGAGTTCCAATGACTAAAAGACCGCCGGCACTGCATGCTTGCCACGCAAGCGTTGCCGTCCAACTTTAAATGTACGTTAGATGAGTAGAAGACAAGCCACTGCATAATGATCATCGTACTACATACCCAGTAGCATAACTCAATAGTCTTTGACAGTTTTCTGGAGCAAACTCGCTGACCCAATGGTACTGTGCGCCGGCAACTGGAGCCATACTGGCCATTTCAGCCAAGCTGAAGATGATGGGGCCATATCCAATGAAGCTCCAGATAGAGGAGTACATGAGAACAGGTAAACCTCCATTCAACAGACCGGGTGTTATTTGAAACATCGTGAACAGCCAAGAAGAGAGTGCGACGACTACAAATGCTGCCATGGAGAAGGCTCTGTAGTGCCGCACCAATTGCTGACGGTGTCCCACGCGTTGCATTGCCAGCATGTCGCGAGGCGTCGACTGGAATGGATCCTCAATGTCATCCAACAAAACTTCCTGCGTTCTCAGTTCAAGTTCAGAGGCGCTCATCGTGGGCAAATTGAAATCTCGGTGATGAATGACATAAAAATGCAACAGACGCTGGAGCGGGAGCTAGGCAACGACGGCATTAGCTTCGGTAAAACTGATCATGTTGGATACGCAGGAGTATATAGCACGGTACTTACATTGTGATGTTGTCTAAGTACTAAATTCTTCAAGCCACAACTATTAATCCCCTCGAGCGAAGAGTGCTTTTTATACCCTACGCTTCAACCACTATAGCGGGATAACACTACAGCCAGACCTGCAGGCCCGCCACGCAACAGATCGCCACCCCATATCTGGGTGGAGCAAAGCGGAGAGTTACCAGATTGAATCCAGCATGGAGTTGATTACATATCTTGTACGGGCGACAAAAATAGAAATAGCTGGCAGCCACAACCGTGTCAATCTACGGCCAATCTAGCCATCCGCACCCCTGGAATGCATGTACAATACCGGCACCTACATACGGTGCCATTCGTCTTCTTATTAGTACAGTGCCGTAAAACCTTGTCTCAGCAGTGTTACATTGAGGCACCATAGAACATCCGCAATCCGTCAAGCAATGGCGAGAATAGTGGAAAGGGGGGGGGGGCGGAGATCGGGAAACCGCGGCCACCAAGCCCACTGAAATTAGACACTTACTAAAGGTTTCGGGCCGAAAAGCTGGTCGAGCAGCGACAGTTTTTACGGGCCGCGACTCATAGACAGCGGGCGTACGCCAGAGACTTGTCAAAATTGGAGTCCACTTCCGGGCTCGTGAGCGATTCGCGACAATTCGATTGGCCCTTTCAGCGTCCGGAACTGGAACAAGCTAACTTTATGCAGTCCGAATTCTAGTTTTAGCTGTTAGCCTGCCCTTCCCGACCAACTGAAGTGGTAACTCATTTTATTGATCAGTGGAAACCGAAATCCAGCTGACTAGGCATCCGTCCTGGGACACAAGGAAGCAAAAATCTTTCTTCTGGCAGGAGCCGGCGGCTGGCACTCATCTGCAGATACTGTGGCCAGAAAAGCTACCGGAGGCTTGTGGCCATGGGCCACAAAGAACGGAAGGATATTGTTTTAATATGATAATACTAATATTATTATGTTCTTTATTCGCTTTGTTGGTTGTGAGCAGCGTCACGGTGGACAATGCTAGCGTGGCCTGCAAACTGAGCTCTCATGTCTGCACGCCGAGTGCCGGCGTCGTGAACCGCCCCACCCCCATACCGCCCCGCTTCCCCCGAGCCCGAGCCCCGGCACTCCACTAGTGAGAGGTCAGCGATCATCGCTCTCGACCGTGCCGGGAACCATTTGCAGCAGGCCAAATTCTTGCAGAACCCGGCGAGCGGCGCTAGCCAGATATGGTGTGGTCCTAGGGTCTCGCTTCTACGCTGACAAGACATCCAGGCCGCTCGGGATCTAGACCGCGGTCCTCGTCAGAGGAGACCTGCCCTGATTAGCGTCCTTTTATTGTGGGCTTGTGATCCAATCGCGATAAGACGATTGGCCCCTCTCGGCATCCGGAAGCCACGTCTGATGGAGGTAAGACGAAGAAACTGATCTGCGTGTCTTGTGCCGAATGCAGCAGGTCGTGCGAGGTAATCGATGAGCGTTGCGCTTGCCATTAGGGGAAATCGACGGCTGGCCTCAACCACTTTTGAAACATGGACATTATTAGTATTGGGACGAACGCTCTCAGCAAACCTTCCGGGTCCCAGGGACGCCGAACGCCCGATGAAGCGATGATGATGGCGACGCAATGTTAGTACTTTGGGATGAACAGATTCTCGAGCGCGAAGTCTGATCTCTGCGCCGCCACTGGCAGCCGCAGCATATCGCTAGAACCGATTTTCTCATTCTTGTCGGATGTGCGATGCACGACACAGTCTATTCTATAAGGAGTAAATGACTCCACAACTTTATTTGGAATAGTACCCAATTGATCGGCCCACATAACCTAACCTGGGGCTTTTTCCAGTGGACGCCGAGCCTGAGCTACCGTGTGTACAGTGCCGGTACAGTCCTGCGGTTCAACGTTTCAATAATTATCTTGTCTTGTCTCTCTCTCTTCTGGCTCGTTTATTTACGGGGAAAGCTACTTCTGGTACTAGTGGCAGCACGACCATGCGCCACTCCCGCTATATCCAACTTGCCAATTCTAGCGTGTAATTTTAGGCCGTTAGTGCGAGCCTACCACCCCACCGCATGTAGCGAACAAACCTTTCAAGTAGTGGTACCCGTCATGCCCCGCAATGAAACCACAGTCTGCCGGTACTGGTACAGTGCCGGTACGTCTCCTTGTCATTTTAAACTTTGTAGTGAGATGAAATTTGCAATTCCAAGCCCGCTCAGCAGGCAGCTGTCTGGATGCCATAGGCAATTCGGAGCAGCATTATGATCCCTATCGCACTCGCATTGAACTAGTGAGTTCGAAAAATCCTGTACTCTGAAAAGCATCGTTCTTGCGCCTCCTTCGAGACGAACTCGTGTTGGCTCAATTCGCGGCTGCAACAGATTCTTCGGCTTATCTCGTTCACTCTCCCCTCACCGTGAACATGGACCACTCTGAGGACTGCGGAATAGTACTGGGCGCTCTGACTGCACTATTCCTAGCTTGGGCCCTTACGATGTTTTCTGTCCGTGTCTGGACCAAGCTCAAGACTAGAAGCTGGGGCCTGGATGACTACGTGATGGTATCGGCTGTGGTAGGTGGTCTGTCCATGACACTCAGAGAAGCCGAGCTTATCAACCCTGGAATCTAGTGTGCTGACCTGGTGCATGTTGCCGTTGTGTACCGCGCTCTGTATCTGGGCTATGGCAGGCTGTCAGAGGATTTCCATGACAAGCCATTGCGTTCCTGGGAGAAAGTAAGTACCAAATCATCTGCTGGGTACTTGGGCTCTAGAAGGGACAAAGACTGAACTTCGAATGCTAGTCAATCCTCGTTGGTCAATTATCATATATCGCATCGGTGGGTCTATGTCGAGTATCAACGGCTCTCTTCGTCGCGCGTCTCATCGACTTTGCACGGACTCTGTCCATGGCTACGCTGCTCGCTGCACTCGCCGGTCTATGGACCATGGGCTCCATATTGGCCATCGCGCTCCGGGGTACTACGGAGCAGTCCTGGACGTCTATGGACGTTACACAACCGATGGTGAGTGGTAGCACTGTATTGGCATCGCGACCGCAAATTGACGAACAAAAACGTAGTTTTGTCGATGGGTGGTGATAGAAGTCAGTGGGCTGACTGTTGAGCTATCCATCTGGATACTCGCGGGCTATCGCATTTACGCACTACGAATGCCGCTGAGAAAACGTGTCTGTGCTACTAGCGCGTTTGGCGTTCGTCTCCTGTATGTCTTCGTCGGCATCGTCTGAGTTGTTTTCCTATTTGACTGGTCAACTAACCAATTCAGTTTGATTCCAATAATCGCATATCGCCTGCTTATGTTGTCGCCGAACAATGGCGCAGCGTTGCCAGCGAACAAGTTCTTCCGGGCCGCAGTTGCCACAGAATTTGCGCTCCAATTCTCCGTCTTTGCGGCTGGGATGACATCGCTGAAGCCGCTTCTCCAAACCTTCCAGCAACACCATACAAAGCATTCTCCTTGTTACCACAGCCAGGCTCGGTGCAATGTCATGGAGAGGTTTCGAAGGCGTTCAGCGCCACCTCTGCCCAGCACAAACCGGACTTGGGATTGTGAGCTGGATGTACGTCCACGGACTTCCGCTGCCTCTTTCGCAACAGACGACTCTCAGAGAGTGATAATGAAGAAAGAGCAGGAGAGGATTTATGACGATGCCGATAGTTTGTATGCGCAGGAGAACATAGGTGTTGCATCATAAAGGCTCTTATCGGGACTGGTCGGTCCTGGAAATCACCTACTTTGAGCTCAATTCCAGGCACTCATTTGAGGAACGCGTCAGGTACTGAAGAGGTCAGATAACTCCTTCTCGGTTTGTTGAGCACTGCAGAGTAAATAAGGGTGGTAAATGATGTTGTGCAGCTGCTCCGTCAGTGCAGTGTCACTATATAATACACATAGCCAATCTGTGTGAAACACAAATTGTCGCATATCATGAAGACGTCGGCACGGCCGACCACATACTAGTATTTATCAAACTTAAAGTCTCTCTATTGAAAGAGGACAACAAACGAATCGTTGAAAAGCTACTGTCTGCATGCTTTTAGACGAATGGTCAGGGGGCTTTGGAAAACCACCGCGAGAACACCTTGTACGACATTAGTCGCGCGAAGCTAGACTGCAGAACCTAACTAGCGCACCTCTACTTCGTTCGATTTCTCCCGGCATGTATGTGAATTGTCACGATTTGTTACCTGGGGCAGAGCTCCAACGCGGCAGAATTGCAGCCGATGCCACGAGGATGTGCCGGCCGGACCAGGCACGGTGGTGCGGATGCCCTATGTAGTAGACGTACCACTGCCGGAGGTAGCGTTGCTAGCCTGTGGGCAAATGGTTGCCTGGCGCAAAGGCTGTGGCCAGTGTTCAGTGCTGTTTCGTACCAGGCAGAAGGCGGGAAGGGCAACTTTTCTCTGTGCACAAGGGGGAACGCTGGCGGCCTGTTGGCTTTGCAGTTCATCAGGAACAGCGCAAGTTCCACAACCGGGTTCGACCAGAAGGGGTGTCGTTAACAGTTCTGTCATCCATAGAAAAATTTCCGTTGCATTTTGCAGGCCAACTCGGCAGCACGTCCTCCTGCTGAGAAAATCAAGCACGGTCCTCGACCTGTCGGATAACGCTGCCTCTATTGACTCGACCGCAAGCGTTCTGCCGGGGTGGCAAAATCGTTGAAACACTGCTGCCTGGCAGGCAGCAGCATTTCCAGGGATATCTAGCGCGAGATCGTCAAGCTTTTCGAACAACCGAATCAATGGATGCTGGGTAGGTGCCTACTGTGCTTCCGCCCTTGACCAGTGGACGTGTGCTTGCTACTGCTAGGACCACATCCTCCCTGTCAAGGTTTCGTAGTCTCCATTATAGTACAGTACCGTCTGTCAACTTCTGCTTCTATAATTTTAACACTGAGGGGCTTCTTCGCGCTTGGCCCGTCCATTTCCTCATTGGCGCCTTGCACCCATCCACTCGACATCGTCCACTTCGTTCTTTCTCGATGTAGGAGGGAAGTGTCGTTAGTATTGTGCTTTCGTCAAGTTCTGTTCGTTCATCTTCTCCTTGACTCATTGTCTTTTTCTTGGCGCAACAATTTTGGTCTGGAGGAGGGAGTGTCGTTAGTATTGCGTCTTGTTCGTCAACTTTTGTCCGTCCATCTTCTCCTCGACCTATGGTATTTTTTTGGCGCTGCGAAGGACGGATGGCCTTAGCCTTAGTTGGTGGCAGGGGAGTGTCACTAGCACTGCGCCTTGCGCGTCAAACTGGATGGACTGAACTTGATGAACTAGGCACAGTTCCAACGACACTCCCCTCCTACATCGAAAAAGAACGAAAGTGGACGATGCCAAGTGGATGAGTGAAAGTCACCAGTGAGGAAGTGGACGGGCCAAGCACGAAGGCACCCGTCAGTATGACTTGCGTGATCACAAAAGCAGAAGTTGACAGAGTGTACGATGGAGGCTAAGAAGGCTTGACGCCACCCGTGTGCCGAAAAGAAACGAGTGGACAAATGAGAAAACGTGGCTCTAGCAGTAGCAAGCACACGCCCACCTGGCAAGAAGTTGATAGAAAGCATAGTAGCAACAAAAAGAATAGGAAACCACGAAAAAAACAGGGCGTTTTTACGCCCAAATACCAAAGTGTGTGGATCGGCTGCTACATTCAGGAAAGCGCCAGCGTCGGTAAGTCTTCTGTGCTGGGGACAGATGCCCGCGGTGGCTGGCAAACTAACCCCGCGGACCGAAGACACGGGGTGCCAGTTGTTTCGTCTGCGTTAGTCACCCAGTGGCGCTGCGTGCCAGCGCTGTACAGGGTCCAGATACACCGACTCGCACAATGTACGCACGGTCCCTATTGATGCTCGAGCCATAGCCATGTGGTAGTACACCTTGTAGCATCCACCGAGGCATTTCTTCACTGCCCTGCCCGCGTCGGGTGCGAACAGAGCTGGAGAGACCCGAGCTGATTATGAATGCAGTCGTAGTATTGAACAGTACATAGTTGCTATGACTATCAACACGCAGCCACGCTCAAAAATGACTTACCTTGTGACGTCCTTTAAATCCATCAATCATCGGCGTGATAGCAACAAACAAGCTACTGGCAAGCCTCTCAAAATGCTTCCTTTTGTCTTTCCTGCAGCATGCAAACTTATCTGGGTGCCAGCGAGCTCTGTGATCTTTGAGGAGTTGCAAGTTGAACTTGCCAGAACTCTGGAAGAATAGTTTCAAGTTGTGTTGACAAATACCTGTGTCCTCAAAAGCCTTGCAGCGATTGTGGCACCGTAGGAGCTCCGGTAAAGGTAATTGTGTCATCGTGGCCTTGTTGAGAAAAGCGGTACGACAGGCTGCTTCCCATTCTTCGAAAGGGGTGCTGTCCACGTCCATGGCTTCTGCCTCTTCCCGTTCCATGAATTCCCCCTTTTCCTTCTTCATGGATATTATTTTTTCCTTTGCTAGCCATTCATAGAATGTAAATCTTCTTCCACTTCGCCGTAAAAGCGCCTCTTCATCTTTGTCTCTCATCTATCTCGTCGCGATCGCCATGAAATCTTCCCAATACCATTTGCGAAGCTTCGCTTGCTCGGTGGACCAAGAGAAGGCAGAGCTCTTGTCGAAGATGTGTCTGCTTGTCCATGAATAGAATACTTTTCGCGCCATCAGCATTTTTTATTCGAGTTCGCTTGCACCAAGACAGCTCATAGCCATCAACAGCCATTCGTACTCGAGCCCACGCTGACCACCAGGGTTCAAGTACTGTATTGTGTCGTAAACCTGTAGAACGTATACTCTTGTTTCAAGTCTCAGGTCTTCGAATTTGGAGTTGTCGAACTCGTAAAATGGGAGCTCACGGCCGTAGGCACAGTCGCTTTTCTCAGGAACAGACATATTTTTGAATATGTTTGGGGGGTTCGAGTGCCGCACTATCGGATCCAGTCGAGGGTTCGACTTGTGCCCTGCCAATTCAAAGAAGAAGGCGAATAGTGATTGATTGAAAATTGGCAGTGAGGCTGGTAGAGGCCGCTGGCGGTGCTTTTATAGTCTTGTCGCTCTCAGTCATGACAAATCTTTGAGGAGCACATGGAAGCAAAACACTCGAGCAAACCCCATCGCCGTTCTTGATACGACTGCAGCCGTCGGAATGAACATAGCTAAGGGCGCCTCGCATGGCAACAGCGGTGAGTCGGTCCGTGTTCGACGCGAGCAGCCTGTCAATGACGCTTTGTGGCTTGCGAGAGCAATTGCGTTGGCTTGTGACCGCAAGCCATGAACCGACACGCGCATCGTTTGTGGAATAGTTGAAGCTCACGTCGATCCCAGATACATAAGCCACCGTGAGAAGTTCTTGAAACTCGCATCAATGTGGGAAGTCATGACTTGTCATGCAGGTGCTTATTACTTGGCTCTCGCATTCCTGCTCGTCCGTAATTGAGGGGGTGAATCTAATTGTGCACCAAACAAATACAATTATTATATAATGACTTACCATATAGTACGCGTAGGGTAATCGTCCATTTGCACGAATGGCGGTAGCTTAGCTAATGTGCGACCGTACATGAGCAATGTTTGGTCTCTGATCGCCCATTCCAAACAGAGAATGTGAAAAGCGCGACGCGAATCGAGGGTCGATGCAGCGCAGACTCTGCTCCTTCATCAACAATCACATCACAACTAAGCCGAAGATTTATTAAAACTTTATTAATACCATGGCATGCCCTGATTATTTGTTATACCTTGATGATCAAAATCATGCCTTGCAGATTCAACTTGGAGAGGTTTATGCTCAATATGAAGGCCATCACGGCAAATGGCACGAAGAAAGTCCTCCGGACTTTGTGCTGGCATTCAATTCATTCGAAGTTGACTTGAAAAAATGCATCGATTTTACGAATGACGCAATACTCGCCCAGAGTATGTCCGCCGCAGTCGAAGCCGATTCTGAAGCTATCGAAAAGTTGAGTCTTCAGGAGATGCAGGCTGTCAATGACCGACGTTTGGCCCTCGGGTTCGATGAGGATGGACCTATGCCATCTTCTGCGATGCTCCAAGTCGAACCCGAACCAATTAGCTATGACAATGCTTTGCATGTTGGCAGCGATGATGGCTGCAGCGCCATTGCTGGCCCCTCTGGTCAACACAGTAGCCAGCAGGACATCGTCGTCGGGAAGGGCGCTATTAAGCCTGTCGAATGCGTTGTTTGCGGAGAACCTGCTCTTCCTCACAACGCCGTTGATCTGGAATGTGGTGATACATTTTGCAGGTCGTGTCTGAAGTCTTTCTTCATGCGTGTTGCTAGAGACGAAACGCTCTTTCCGCCGAAATGTCATCGCCAAGCTATCGATATCTCTGTTATTGAAGGAGACTTTTCACCTGAGGAACTGAAAGTGTATCGAGCCGCCGAATTGGAGTTTGGTAGCACAGACAGGATTTACTGCGCAAATCTGACTTGCGGCGTTTTTATACCCGCCCATCAGCGGAACGCAGATCGCGGCTCATGCGATGCCTGTACTTTTGTTACTTGCATACGCTGTAAGCTGCTAGCCCATGATGGAAGTTGTAGCGTGGATGAGTCGAAACAAGAACTCCTCGCGTTTGCACGTGGGCTGGGCTGGATGGAATGTTTTGGATGCGGCGAAATGATCTTTCGCTACGAGGGCTGCAACCATATGACGTGAGTGCTATTTATCATTCCATATTCCACTCTCTCTGCACATGGTGCTAACCTTAACAAAGCTGCCGGTGCGGTGCTGAATTTTGCTACCGATGTGGCGTGAAATGGAAGGATTGCGATTGTGGCGACTGGGAACCTGAGCTTCTCGATCAAAGAGCTCAGCAGGTTGTTGATAGGGAAGCTCTGGAGCCACTGGCACCGGCAGTGCGTCAGCAACGTGTCGCATTTATGGCAAGGGAGCTGCGAGCTAACCATGAATGCAATCATGGCGGCAAGTTTAGGAGGGTTGAATTCGAGTGGACTCGCCGTGGTCAGGCTTGTGAGCTCTGCGGAACGAGACACAGGATTTATTTGTTATCATGCAAAGGTTGTCACTTACTGGCCTGCCAAGACTGCCGGCGCCACAGGGTATGATTGATATTGCTTTATGTATAGAGCATTGGATACCAGCCGGTAAACAGACCAACGCGTCAATACCACAGTTAGGGGCAGTACAGCCTGCACAGGGCTGATCAGCGCAGATTAGGAATTACGGCAATGAACCCACATTGTCCTAACATAGCCAACTGCGTGTGTAACATTCTTGGCATATTTCTGCTTGAAATCGGCCAGGCGTTCTTGAAATATCATTTGAGTTGGAGAGGCTACGAGTGCATGCCAGGTCTTGTAGAACTCATCCCATCTCCTTCAGCCAGAAAGGCAGGCCGGCAATATTGCAACACTGCCTTGTTTACATGCCAAGTGCAAAGGCGACCTCCGGATGAAGGGAACCAGCTTGCAGCCGCATTCATCGCGGCCGAGCACCGGACTGTCAAGGCAACGGAGGGAAGGTTACGCCGATAGAGCGACCGAAGATGTTGCAAAGCCCATGAGTCGTCCTCTTCGGTCTCATCGGAGAGGAACGCAAAAGCAATACAAAAGGGGCGCTTGCAAGCGTCAACGCCAACCATATCGAGATGTGGCATGCTGTGTTTGATTGCCTTGTAGGTACAGTCAAGGAGCAGAACATCGGGGTTGCATTGGAGAAATGCGATTGAGTCCGGATGGGCTAAGACTATTGCTGTAAGCCGGTTATCGGAATCCAGCCGAACCTTGAAGTGGAAGCCTTCCTCATGCAATTGGTCGACTAGTGCTTGTATGCTGCTTTGGCGATGTGCTGGGTGTGCAGATGGGTCTTCACTTGGCAAGTGTTTGTAGAGAGAGGAATCCAGTCCGGGTCGATGACTGAGAGCCCATGCTGCTCCATCCAAAGACTGTTTGGCAAGCACAGAAAACTCGCATCCTGTTCCTCGGCTACAGGTACGCCGTTTTCGCTGTTGCCTGCCCGTTGCGATCGCAAGCAAACACAAAACTTTAACCCGGCCATTGGGTGTCTTCGTCGACTTTCCCGTGGTAAATGCATAGCCTCTAGGTTTTGCCCTTGAATTAATGGCGCTAAGGAGAGATTCGCGTGAGCTGTATACATCTTTTGTAAGGGTTAGATCATCCGGGAATACTGCTTGGGACATGGCGAAAGTATGAAGTGGTTAATGGTTGTGCCATTGCATGTTGGAAGGGGGCGCGGGAAAGTTAGTCAGCAGGGCGCGGCATCCTTAATCCGCGCCCGGGCGCGAATGGGGCGCGAATGTAGGGGCCGCCAGCGCTAGCCAGGGGCCAACCCCCCTAACAGCTCAGACCATCATCGACGCAGACAGAACCTCAGCCCTTCCAGCACAACTCACGATGACAACGCGCAATCTCTTGTCCGGCCCTATTACACTTTCCGAGGCCAAATCGAAAAGTCGCAACGTTCTTCACGCTCTGCGCTTCCCCCTACAGAAGCGCGAATTCTACGCGCGCATCGAGCGCCAACGCCATCTTCTCTCCCACATCGTTGCACATCATCTCAACACAGACATTGCAAGTGTGACCATTTCCGAGCAAGAGCACTGGATCCACGGGTCATTTAATCTCTGCGTACCGGTGCTTGTCAACAATGCTGCTGCGGTCATTGTTCGCTTTCCGCTGCCGTATCGCGTGGGAGATGTGACGAACCCAGGGAATGCTGATGAAAAAATTCGTGCAGAGGCCGCAACCTACGCATGGATTCATGAGAACTGCCCAGATGTGCCTATCCCGCGTATACATGGCTTTGGACTGTCTACAAAGCAACAGGCAAGTCTACGCCTTTAATTCTCTGTCTTCATCTATCTACACGCCCACACCTTGTATGCACTTGTCTAAGCTCTAACAATTTTTATAGTTCACACACATAAGCCATCTCCCCTGGTATTTGCGCTGGTTCCAGCATGTACGCCGCTTTGTCCTGGCTGGTCTCCGCCTCGAGCAGCCGTCGCAGCTCGTGCCGCACAGCTCCACCCATCTCACCAGTCTAGACGTGGGCTATCTACTCATTCAGATCATAGACTCTGGGACAATAGCAAAGGAGGGAATTGTGATCAAAATCCAGGCCCCCGCAACACCTACCGTGATCTTGGAGGCCATCGACCACATCCCGTGCTGCATGCGGTAGACGCTCAGCAAGGCGGAGCCCAGGCCCGTCACCGCGTGAATCATGGTCGGGCTATCTAGTGTCAGAGACAACTCGGTTGGCGAAGGCAACGTCTCACTTACACAATGATGGCGCGATGCAGCCAGAGGTAGTTCGTGCGCCAACGCCACGAGAGCCAAGCCAGCCCGGCAGCTGCCACTACGCTGGTCACCACCGCTATGCATATCAATGGAATGCTGCGCATGAGATGCACGGCAGACGTCCCCACCACACCGACATTGTTCAAAGCGACCGATTGCTGAATGGTCGCGTACGTCGCTGGAGACACAAGGAAGACGGCGAGGAGCATCCAGGAACAGCATCCAGCCGCGGCCGAGTACCATGGCTCAATATCTCGATCAATTTCCAACAGCATGCGATCATACCTGCTCAGCCGTTTCTTCATAGTCTTGGGAAGTTTTGCGTTTATTGCTCCTCTCTAGCGCTCATAGATTTTCCCTGGCGCTCACAGGCACCTCATATAGACAGGTCCGTCGTAGTTGGCACGCGCTCCCTTCATCCGGCCTCTAGGCGACAATTGACTCGAAATGGCTCGGGTTTCATGAGGTGCAAAACCATGGCGCTCAAATCATAGCAAAGTTGGCCAGCCGTTTCCTGCCCTCGATTTCGCATTGTTTCTGGGCCGCTGTCAGCATCTGTGAGAGACTTGCTACTAGGCCGGCCATCTCGTGCAGCATGTTTCGGGCGCGGTCTGTCGTGAGACGTAAAACTCTCAAATCGAGTCTGAGCTGGCTGACCTCCCATTCTAGCGCGGTAATGACGAGTGTCTGCTGCTCCCGCTGCTCGTGGACGATGGTCTCGGTCAGTGCGGTGAGATCGAAGGCGTCAGAGTACACGCTTGAGCTGCGCCTCTGCGTTGTAGACATCAGGTCGGAGGCTGATCAACATAACCAGGAGGAAGGGGAGAGGGCTGTGCATTGCCGTTATATGCGCATACTGTGCGCCACGTCCGGATGTTGACAAACACACAGCGGGACAACCCCCTGCGGCAGATTCGTGATTCGGCGCAGCGTGACATGCAGAAGTTGCGAAGGCAAGACGTGGAAACAAACACGTAGAACCGGGGAACAGGAGCACATGCGCTTTCAATACATTTTTTGCAGATTTCGGCGATCGTCTATATTGATATCCTTCGTATTTCTATGCATAATGCATGCTAAAAACTTGCTAATGAATCGCAAGCTGGCCTTGCAGCACCCGCCCTTGCTGCAACGGTAGCATGCCCAATCCGGCCTGCATGCTTCTGGGATCCGACGCCAGCAAGAGGTTCACTGTTCCCAAGGCATCCTGTGCCATCCTACGCCACGCGTCAGTCGCGGCCATCCCCGTTCTCGGCAGTGATGCATGCGTGGAAACGGGCTGATGTTCTGGCTGTGGCAGCGCGGCTGCGCTGGCATCATCTCGCCGAGCAATGGCCACTGGTGAATGTGCTGCTGCTACTTCGGTGACGGTCATGTCCACACCAAGGTCATTGTAACATGACTCATCGAGGAGATCCATTGCCTCAGCAGACTGTTCGAATACTTGCGTGGCGCCCTCCATTGCCGAAGTCTCCATTGAGCCTGGAGGGGAACAATGGGCAGCGCCTCCAGCGCCTCCACCTGGCTTAGCAGCACAACCCAGGTCGGATTGGCGATGAACGGAACCTTCATGGTCTGAGCCAACAGGAGCCCACTCGAGGACGGAGTCGAAGCCACGGTGGCTGCCGAAGTCACTGCCGGGGCACCTGCTGCCGCTGCCGCTGCCGCTGCTGCCGCCATTGGTAGTCTCTGCTTCCCGCGCGCCTTCACTGTCTCCTCTGAACGTGTACACATCGTCGCCGATCGCGTCTGGACCCCTTGTTTGGTGCATTCTGGCGCTACGTCGTAGTGGTTGCTGTACTTGTTGTGTCTTGGCAGTCCGCCGACTTGCTCCGGCCGCATGCGCACGTGGCCCGGAAGGTACTTTCTTTTTCTTAGGCTGCGCAAGGGGCTCTGGTAGACGCCCGGCCAACGCATCGGCGACCTGTTTCTTGATTTAGTCGTGTTCTTCCAAGACAATCGCCTCACACCAGTGTCCAAACAACTGCATACAAGTTTATTCAGGTCTGGCAGGGTTTCCCCTTCGGGCAACCGCGCCGCGATACGGTGGCATTTGTGTGTTGGTTCCCAGTAGATCGCGGCGGCAAACACATTTGCCTTGTCCGCCAATTCTTCGCTCTTTCTCAGCAGGCTGGGCCCGCTCTTTCGGGCCTTCGCCTTCTCCGAATAGCCGTGCTCGGCCTCCCTGCCAGTGCCTGCGTTTTGGTCCATACTTGCTTCATCCACAGTGGCGCTCCCAACCTCCCAAAAGAGAATGTCGGCAGTATTTTCTGCCGCAGCTCGTACTGTGGTCTTCTAGCTTCCATCCAGACATCGTCGCGTAAGGCGCAGCAGCTCTTTTTCATGTTGTCACTATCACCATCCTATCACCGAAGTGGCTCCCACCAACAGGTGTGGCTCTACGAAGGGGGTGTCCCGCCCGCTTGTCCACTTGTTGCCAGTACGGGTCGTCCAGAAGCGACCGCTGTCATGTCGCTCAGCGGCGTTTGGCGGACGCTCTTGGTTGCTGCACGAGCGGTCGCATCGAAACTGGACTCTGAGATTGTGGTGGCGGCAGGTGCCAGCTTCATGGATGTTAGTCAAGCGCGGTCAACACAGCTGTGCCAACCGTGCTGGACCCGCAGCGCAAGCATTGGGGGGGGCGGGCATCCTCGTCCTTCACCAGGTATTGTAGGGGCCGGCGATCATCGGAACAAAGCAGCGGTTGAAATTTCTCCGTATAGTAGGGTAGCGCGGCCGCGCTACTCCCCTCTGTCGTGGTCAGTCGATCGGTTGGTTGGTCGGTTTGCACCCGAGCCTTGAGCTTCCCACTGACACACGGTTTTCTCATCAACCCTATCACCTACACCAATTAGCACCAGAGCCTTGAACTTCCCACTGACACACAGTTTTCTCACCAGCCCTAGCACCTGCACCATTGCATCACCTATACCGTATCCTTCAATATGCACACGCCGCAGGACAAGAATAGAACGTCGCCTGCGCGCAGACGAAACTACAGGCGCCGTCCTGTCAGTGGCCACATCCAAGCGGTCCAGACGATGGCGCCACAGGCATTGCCGTCTCTCTCGTAGGATCGCCCATACCTCCGTTACTCTATCACACGCTTAGACGATCACAGAAACGGCAACACGTCCATGGATAATTTTCACCAGTCTCGCACTTCGTACGTTCTTCCAACAGACACACAGCGACAATTTCTAACCCATGAGTGAAGATCAGGTGATCTGGTGGCAGAGTAAGCAACGCACACCCTCCAACCACGGCCGGCAAAAATCGAGTCGAACACAGCTAATGGGATTTTTATTCGAAAAGGCTAGAATCCATGCTCGCGACGCTACGTCAATGCATGGATGGAGAAAGAGGACATCTACGCCCCTGCGTTCCTTCTGCGAACAACGACGTAGCCTCGGATGCTGAAGACCTCCACACGAAGGTCGTCCGCATCGAAAGCGACGTGAGCAGAATCAATAAGGAGCTGTCTAGCCTCCTCCATGTGAGGGAGACCGGCCAGAAGATCGTCCGCGTGGAAAGTGACGTGAACGAAATGAAAAAGGAGTTAGCTGGTCTCAGCAGCGTGCGGGTTACTCTTGCCGAGCTCCAGGCGCAGCTTCAGATGCTTCTGAATACATGCGTGATTCCTGGCCAGCTCCCTCCCCAGCTGTATCATCCCGCACAGATGTCTCCCTACCACTAGGCGTTCAGGCAAACATCTTCGGCTTCTCACTACTTACCGAACAGTTTGTGAGCTATATAGAGAGTTGAATCAATTCTACAGTGACCTCTCAGCCATTATACACACGTTCCCTGCTCCTCGAGGTGATATTTGGCGTGCCATCGGCAATGGCTAGCACCGACTCCAGCGCTAGCCAACAGACAGTCATCCTGCTACGCCAGGCGGCAAGGTGCCACCTCTGCAAAGCGGCCCCAGGCCCCACCGAGCTTGCCCTGGGAGGACCCAACGGTCGCAGCCGCTGGAACCCGACGCGTGCCTGCGTTTGTTTGAAGAACCTCGAGTCGCTCTCCCACCTCTTGATAGGACCAAGGGTGACTTAGATGAAAAAAGGTGCAGATAACTTTGAGCACCTTGTACACCAACAGTTGAGTCACAGTCACTGCCAGCCTATAGCCGTGCGCGCGACCGCGGCACGGCGTCTACGCAGTCTCTGGTTGCGTCTGTACATCTACGATCTCTTCCCGCGACCCATCCGCATCGCTGTGTCTCTCTAGTTGCCAGATCTAGCGGGCAACGAATTTCGGGCAGTAGGCATCGCATCCACTACGGGGCGCCCACCAGATCGTCGCGGATGCCCACGCAAACGAGTCGCTACCTGGTTGGCCACCCAAATCGCTACCAGCCCCGTTGCTGGGATGGGACTCGAAAGTCGTGCCAAGCACAGCACCCTTGTCCGTACCCTGGCCGATTCCTTCATCCAGCAACCCAGCGCGAGTGACAGAGAGGGGTGACCTCAGCAAGGTGGCTGTGTGAGGTAAAACGAATTTTGCTGCGCAGGCGTGGAAGTCCAAGGAACGTACTGGTGGTGTGGGTGAAAAAAACTGCGGCGCACTGGTGGTGTGGGGGAAGAAAAAAAGAGGTCTGCAGTGTGGAGTTTGAAGCCACGGGAGAGCAGAGCGCCGCCGTCGCGAAGAACGGACTGAGTTTCGGGCCGGCCCGAGGATAAGCCTTGCAGCCCAAGAATCATCAGGCTGGCAAACGCATTGGCGTGCTGCGAGGCCACACCTCTTGTTGATTGTCAAACCCGCAGCGGGTACTGCGCCTGAACAGGACGACGCAAGTGGCAGGCATGGCAGCGTGGACGGCGTTTGGCGCAGCAAGGTGATTGCTCCCCTGTCACCTGATGGAGCCGTCACGCACGTTGGTCTGCATCCCTGTCAAATGGCGGGCCCAGAACGGGCACGAAGGGTACGGGCGCGATTGTGGAGGAGCATGGGCGCACGACGTCCGTAGTCACTTTCTCCACCCTCCGGCATGTTTGTCCAAAGCTCCATCGTGCGCTTCGTTACTGTAGCGTCCCTCACTGGTCACAGTGGGCAATTGGATAAGTGGACAAGTGAGCAAGCGGAAAGCAACCGTCAGTCAGGCACGGAGAGCGTTGCATGGCCACCGCCAAAAAGCCACTAACGACCGCCGGCAGATGGACAAGCCGGGCCCAAGACGGAAGGCTGGCGATGCCGAGAGAGGGAGCGGCCAGAAAGCCACTTGCGCATCAGCCAAACCGGTGGAGCCCGAAAGCACTAAGTGTTGAGGCTGTTCGAAGACTGCCGCGCCAAAGAGGATGATGGGTCGAGGAGAAGAGGGACGGACAGAGCTTGACGGTCAGAGCTTGACGGGCATAGCTTCACGAAATTGGCACAATGTTTACGACACTCCCCTCCAACTGACCAAGGCTAAGCCCGTCCGTCCATTGCTACGCCAAAGAAGACAATGGGTCGAGGAGAAGATGGCCGGACTTGACGTGCAGAACTTGACAGAGTAGACGCAACAACACTAACGGCGCTTCCCTCCCATTAATCAAGGTTAAGGGCTGTTCATTTTTTCGCCAGAAAGACAATGGGGCGAGAAGAGGGACGGACAAAAGTTGACGAACAAGACGCAATAGTAATGACACTCCTCTCCTAAGGTGGAGGCTGTTTCAAATTGCTGCGCCCAGGAAAAGACAACGAGTCAAGGAGAAGATGGACGAACGGAACTTGATGAA